TCCTGTTGGGTGGCCCAGGGGCAGGGGACAGCAATTTCACTCCATTTGAAGGAAGTCAGCCAGAGTGTAACCGGGGGGCTGGGGCATGCTTGTAAAGGGGTTCAGTTCATTGTCACCCTCTCTGGGGATGGGCTCCAAGACCCCACATAACCCCCCAGCAGGGATGGGGCAGATCAGCCTCTCTGCTTGCCTAGGATGTAATGCAGGCTTGGGGTTTGGGGACAGGGACCTGACTGTGCCGGTACAGACTGACCACGCTGGGCCTGCTACCAGTCGGCTGACTGCCCGCTCATGTGCTGAGTTTCCTTGTGCTCAGCCTGTCACCTGTGTGATAACTGAGGGGTTCACAAAGCTTTCTTGGGGTGTGTTTCAGAGTCTGCTTGGGTGGGAGGTGCCTAAAAAGAGGAATTATAGTGCAGAGAGGGGAGGAGGACAAAAGCCAGGCGTGACTGGGAGCATCCTGCTGGCTCGGCTCCTCTCAGCCGCTCCACTGCACTTGTCTGGATGGTGACAGAGGAAAAAAGGGCTCGTGACTCTTGCAAAGTGATGGAGAAAGGAAAGAGGCGCCTGGCTCGTGAACAGCTTCCAAAGAGGAGCAGGGTACAAACCATCTGAGCCATGACGGTGTGGAGCAGCCTCTCCAGCACCCTGCCAGCCCCACAGCTCCCTGGGCTGTGGTGGGGTTACAGCAGGCTGGGCTCTGCTGCCAGGGAAAAAGGATGAAACATGGTGGGTCTGGGGTCAGCAGCCCCATCCCACTGGAGGATATTCAGCACCTCAGGGTGGGAGCTGGTTGAGGAGCCGAGGAGCCCCAGGAAGGGAAGGACATGGCTGCAGGCCTGGGGGTGAGAGGGGCTGTGACCGACCCTCCCCTGCACATCACACAGCATTGCGCGCTCAGGTCAAGCCAGCCAGGAGCCAGAGGGGTGGGAGACGCTCCCTGCACTGGTAACACACGTCCTCCCTCCTTGCAGGCCAGGATGGCTCCTCGGATCTAGCCAGGGAGGCCAGAGTAGTGTCGGAGATCCCTGTCCAAGTGATGGTGGGACCAGGATAGAGGAGCTGCCATGAGGATGTCTGAAGGCAAGACCCTGAGCTCCTCTTGCTTTGTGCTTTCCTTGCTCTCCTTGCACTGGGCTTTGCTCCAGCTGGGCCAGGCTTTTCCCAGCACCTCCGACTACCTCCAGCGGGGCTGGCAGCGGCTGCTGGAGGAAGGGGAGGGCTGTGCCGAGTGCCGGCCGGAGGAGTGCCCGGCGCCACGCGGGTGCCTGGCTGGCACGGTGCGGGATGCCTGTGACTGCTGCTGGGAGTGTGCCAATCTGGAGGGACAGATCTGCGACCTGGACAACACCAACCACTTCTATGGCAAGTGCGGGGAGCACCTGGAGTGCCAGCTGGATGCCGGGGACCTGCAGCACGGAGAGGTGCCCGAGCCCCAGTGCGCTTGCCTCTCCCGCCTGGCCCTCTGTGGCTCCGACGGCAAAACCTATGCCCAGATCTGCAGGTTCCTGGAGGTTGCCCGTGCCCACCCTGATGCCAACCTCACCGTGGCCCACGAGGGTCCCTGCGAGTCAGGTAGTGCCCCGGCAGCGGGACGGAGGCTCGTACCTTTTGGG